ATTTAAAACAAAAATGTTAATATTAGATAAATACTTTCAAATAAACATGCTGATTTATAAAGATAAATAGTAATAAAAAATTAAATTAATAAACAAAAAGTAATAGTTTTAAATTAAATTATTATATCATGTATGTGTACATTGTATAAAAAATTGTAATACAAAAAAGTAAAGTGAAAGTTTAAAAAACAATCTTTAATATTATAATTTTTTTTGTTTTTACATTTTTATAAATAATTTTAAAATATGATAATTACAATTTTTATATTATTATTAAAAATTATAAAAATTATTATAAAATTTTTTTAAATTTGAAACAATTATTTTTGTCTTAGATTAATGAATTATATATAGACAATATGTCAAATATAGATAATATAAATATAAATAAAAATATGCTGAAATGAGTTCAAATATTACAAATATAAATTGCTCATATTTATAAATACAAATAATATGTCTTTAAATGATATGTTATTTGAACTTATTATAATTTATTACTTTTCCAACAATTTTAATAAAACATTTTAATACATGTGATAATTAATATCCATATCATGCATTTAAATATTATAAATATGAGCACAATTAACCTTTATTAACTTTTTAAAGTATTAAGGTCAGCTGAAAATAACATTAGAAACATCAATTAATAATTATTACTATATTTATGTTTACATACAATTTTACATTGATGTTATAATTCAGTATTACTATTAAATATATTTTTCATTAAAAATATAAATATATAGCATGCTTTTTGATAATTATTAAAAAAAAAGTGAAAGTTAAACGTTGCAGAAATCAAAGAATTTTATGAATCTTGTTTGGAAATGAATAATTATTGCTTTTTATATTTTAATATAAATTACAATATAAATTATATTTTAATATAATATAAATATTGAGATGTATAAAATGGTTTTGTCAGCAAAGCACATAAACATAACATTACGAAACACAGTAGCAATAAGACATACTTCAACGTTTTTTTCATGTAAGCAATTAGTGCAACAAAACGTTGAAGTTTAGCATATTTTTTAATTGATGAAAAACATTTTTGCAACAATATCATTAAAGTTTTTTATTAATATATACAATATTAATTCGAGAAACAAACTACTGCTTGTACACGTCAATCTGATGACTCATGCGCACTTTCTGGAAATTATTTCAATCGATAATCACATTCGTGCGCCGAATATGAGATGAATTTATTTACCTCTTTTAGAAAACGTTTAAGATCCTTAAACGGAGCAACTGTTTAATGTGATGAATAATTTAATTAGATTATGTTGTCAATTTCGTTAACTTATGCAGTACGAGTTATATATGTAATTATATCTATAATGTTACAAAAATGTCACACTCCCCACTTATCAACTTTTGACTGCATCTCGTACGAGCAACTGATATGAAGTAAGTTGACTATTGCGTTGGAAAGCGACGATTTAACACAATTTGCGCTTGCGTAATACGTTTTTCACTATGCTGTTTATTGTTAAACAAGATATGCATCTTTGTAATATGCATTCATGTGTGTATATATATATATATATATATACACACACATATATACACATATATACATACATTAATCAATTTCTTAGAAAAATGTGTAAGTGTATTTTTTAATTTTGAAAAATGATCGTTTGTAATCTTTTTAATAATATTATCTAATTATTTAGATATCTAAAGATTAATAGTATCTTTAGATATTATTAATCTTTAGATTTTAATCTAAAAATACTTAATTTTTCGTTATTTTAAATTTATTTTCTATAAACTGATAAATAAATAAATTTTAATATTATTTATTGTATAAAATGTAATAAATTAGTATAATCTATTTTTATAATGAAGAAAGAAAGCAATAAAGTTCTAAAATATAATTTTTATAATATAATAATATTCAATTATAGAGATTTCATTTCATATATAGTTATATTTATATTTTTATTAAAAATTTTAATTGCATCAAAAAATAATTAAAATAATATGTATTACAAATATGGAAAAAAATTATAAGTACCAACATAATAACGTAAAAAGACTTTTTCAAAATCCACGTGTGTGATTATTGTGGTTATGTTTTCTAGTGTTTAGTCTAATTTGTATAATTAATTTAATAATATTAATGTAAATGATTATAAAATAACAAAAATATCATGTCAAGTTGTAAAATACATAATATTAGGTTTTATAATCTTGAACCCCGATCTGCTACTTGTTTGTCGTATGAATCTAAAACAAAAAGGTTAACACTTGCAAGGTTAGTTTTTAAGAATATATTTTTATTTAAATTCTACAGATAATTATAATATTTATATTAAAATTTTTATAGAAGTGATAATTCGATTGAAGTTTGGAATGTTGGAAATGCACCTTTTGTGGAATGTACAATACCTGGTCATACAGAAAATTCTGTAGAAAGCATTCTTTGGATAGGTCCACGATTATTTTCAACTGGTCTTCATGGCATGGTAGCAGAATATAATTTAACAACATTATCTATTAAAAGTGAAGTTGCAGTAACTGGGGGTGCAGCTTGGTGTATGGATGTTAATCATAAAAATACATGTTTAGCTGTCGGTACTGAAGATGGATATATTAATACATTTACTGTTACTTGTGAAGCATTAATATATGAGAGAATATTTGATAAGCAAAAGGGAAGAATTCTTTGTATTAAATGGGATAATACTGGAGAAATGATTTATACAGGATCAACTGATACAATTAGAGTTTGGAATGCTATATCTGGTCATGCAATTCATAAGATGACAACATCCAGAAAAGAAGCAAAGAAAGAAACTATTATCTGGTGTTTAGAAGTTACAGATGATAATATCATAATTTCTGGAGATTCACGTGGCTGTTTATCATTTTGGGATCCACATATGGGTACTTTAATTGAATCTCATGAGAGTCATACAGCTGATATATTAGCTGTCACTTTGTCTCATGATATGAATATTGTATATTGTGCTGGTGTTGATCCTGTAGTACGAAGTTTTTGTAAAATAACTATGAAATCTAGTGGTAGACCACAATGGGTAAAAGGAATTGAAAGAAGATTACATGCTCATGATGTAAGAGCTTTAGTAGAAGCAGATGGAAAATTATATTCAGCTGGTGTAGATGGATATTTAGCCCAATCTAGTTATCCACCGAAAGTTTTAGTTAAATATCCACCATTACTTCAGATTCCATGCGCTACTGTTTGTAGAAAATCTAGATGTATTTTATTAAGATATCCAAATTTTCTTGAGTTATGGAGACTTGGTTCATCTACTAAAGTATCTTCAGAATCAATACGTCCTGGTATGCTATATCAATTAGAAGAAGAACCTATAAAATTGCTACAGTTAAAAACAAAAAAAGATGAAAACATTATTTCTTGTGCTATTAATAAGGATTCTAAAACAATTGTTTATTCAACTGACAGTCATGTTAGAGTTTTTAATTTTGATGTAATAGAGGGAGATGCACAATTATTAAGAAATGATACAGATATTTCTACAAACAGAATACAAAAAATGTTATTTAGTCCAAATGGAAAATTATTTGTAACAGTAAATAATGATGGGAAAAAGAATATTGTGACATTATATAAAGTAGAAAAAAAACATCTAAGGCATCTTGGTTCTTTTTATACAAACAAGGAATCCATTATAAATGTTGGACTTATGTGTTTTTCTCCTGATAGTAAATATCTTGTTTGCGCTGATTATCATGGTAGAATTGCTGTGTATAATATTAGTGAAACTGTAAGTAATGATATGTCTGAAGCATGGTTATTGCCAAAATATAGTTGCCCATCAACTGCCATGGCTATTCAAAAAGATACATTAAATTTAGTTATTGTATATTCTGATCATAAGGTAAGCAAAAGATTTAATTTTATGTATTATATAACAAGGATTTTTCCTAATATTAAGAAAATATTAATATATTATATATTATAATAATTATATATATAATAATTTATATTTATTTTCTTAATATAAATTAATTTTTAATACTTTTTTTATCTTCTTTGAAATATTAAAATCTTCTATATATAATATAGTATTATAAAATGATATATATAATAATTAGATCACTTATAAAAAACATAATTTTTCTTTGACTTGCAATTTCTTTTCCATAAAACAGTAAATTATTGCTATAATTATATAACTTTCTTTTAATATTAAAATTAAACAAAAAATTAAATTAAATATTATAAAATCGCATATTTTATAAAGAATTATTTTATGTTTAATTTTAGATCGTTGAATATAATATTTTGCAAAAACAATATACCAAATTTTCGAATAATTTACAAAGTCGACTTCCTAAACAATGGTTAGCTCGACCTTTCCCCATAACGAATATAATTTTTGATCCGCGTAACGAAAATATCATAATAATGCACGATGACTCAACTGTTTATATAATTGACAAACTAAATGAATTTTCGGAAAGAGAAACAAAAATTCTAAAACGTGAAAACGGTGACCTCAATGAAGATAGCAATTCCTTCATAAGTTGGCAATCTCAGCAAGTTTTTCAAGTTCTCAAAAAATACAAGGTAATTTTAATTATACTATTATGTAATTCTAATTTGATAGAATAATAGAAATCATTATTATTGTTTTATTTTTTATAGCATCTTGTATACTTAGACTGGTTGAATGACGAAGAATTAGTGGCAGTCGAAGTGAATCCCATGTCTTTGACGGAAAAATTGCCACCGACTCTCAAACAGAAATGGTTCGGAATGTAAATAAATATAGTAAAAATAAAATAAATTAAATCCTATTTTGTTAGGATTTAATATTCTGTACAAAGCCATTTAGCGTGTTTTTTATAAAGATATGGTATCTTGGAAATTAAGAATTATGTGTATTTTTATGTCGCAATATCATACTTGTGCTACACAAGATCAGGACAATTTATTTTTCGATACATTTCTTATGGTATACAATATTTTGTGTACAAAATATATATTCCATATTGTATTCAAATGTTTGTTTATTTAACCGAGAAAAATGAATTTTTGCTGTGCTACGCGAAATTCGCCAGGTTTCGTGGGTGGTTCAATCGTATGTTTTGGCGAAGTATACCAACGACCTGTAAACTCGAGATTGTATTCCGGATGAGATGATCGTAAGCCTATCATACCGGATGTCGTTCTGGGAATGGATGGCGATGGTTTCAGAAGAATCGGTGAACGCTTAATCGCATCTTCCGGCGGTTTGTGTTCGAAAGTGTCCGCCGGAAATCCCTCCTTTCTGCATTCTTCGATCAACACCTACGGTCAGTGACATCGGAACACATTAAAATTCGTATGGTGCACATCACGGATACTGCACCGCACGTTTCTATTCGATACTGGTACCTTCTTAAAAAATTCACCCATCAGATGCTCGTATTTTCTGGACCAATTGCGTCGGAATAATTTATCTCGTAATATAACTTCCTTGCTGAAATTTACACATTATTGAATATTGAATCAAATATTAAACGAACTAAACAAATAAATTAATTGCTTCTTTTTAAAAAAAGAGTCATTACCAAATATTATCAAAAATCACTGGATTTTTAATGTTATTTGTTTTCTCGGTCTTTGTAATTTCTTTCTTATCTTGTAAATCGCCTTTCATTTTTTTATACCACTTATAAAAACATAAGAAAAATATTTTCTTTAAGAAGCAAACAAGCTATTGAAACGATTTGCAGATAGAATCCGCGTAAACCTTTAGTTTGTTCAATATTATACTAGTTACCATAGTTTCTTATCCTATTTTCATCAAGATGGACACATTTTATATAAAAACTGATCATCTCGGAAAGAAGAATCGCTGATTTAACTACACTATTACATCACCGAGACGATATTACGGAGTATCAAGTCACGATCACCACCTAGGACTATCGATTTTCAGTAACAAGCGTATAAAAGGAAGCGGTAACTATCGCGGAAAATCTCGTTGAGCCACAGTAAACCGAGTCTAAGGACCGGCTATGAGGCCATAAACCAAGAAGTGTTTAATCTTCGCCGCGAGTTGTAACCTGGAGCCACACGAAGGCGTAGACGTAGCTGCTTTAAGCCTCCAGGAAATAATCAAAGCGGCGATACAGCGGCAAATATATACAGTCTGCGTGCATATGTGTGTGCGCGCGCGTGTGTGTGTCGCAACGATGGAAACGATGCAGCCTCTGGTATACGTGAATTTAGGTGCGTCTAACACGTTCGTCTTGGTTCGGCGAGGAGGTAACGGTTTGGAAAGCTTTGTAGTTGTGAGGTCTCGAGCTAACGGGGGTGAAAGGGTGGTTGGAAACGGCTGCAGAGTGCAATGCGCCGAGATTACGACTAATCTGCGCCCGAGACTGGTCGGAAGCGTAGTTTCTGTAACTTACATCGCTTAAAGCGTCAGCTCGTTCAACCCTCAAACTCCTCGTCGCCAGTTACCGCCCGCACAGAGTTCCCTCTCTTTCCTTTTACATCGTCCCCCTTTATACCCCTGTTTCCATCTCCCTCTTTCCTCTTTCTCCTTCTATAACCACTCTTGCATTAGCGAGGACTGATTCCCTTGGGAAAATTGCGTCCTCGAAACTCGAAAGTTTAACGTGCTACGCACCTGCCAGGATTTTATCGTATCCAGGGTCCAGCAGGAAAACTTTATTCTTTCCGTAGCTTCTGGAGCTTTGAAAATGGACAACCAATGGAAGCTTCTCGTTTCTCCTTCCTTAACATGGTGATACGATTCCATTTACAGGATTTATTATTTACGTGTCGACGTTGGCATTCGAGTACATGTAAATTCTTTTTTCCTCGAGAATGTTGTTCGAGAAAATTGATGGCCTAAATAATACGAAGATGTTTTACGAAAGATTGAAGATGGAAATGGCAAGAATAATGAAATTCGATAGTTATAAATGATACATCTTTTTCAAACAAAACGTGTCACAACTTTGAAAAAGAAAAAAAATCTTAACACGGAAATCACATTGTTTCGAAGAAACCAAGTTATAGGATGCATAAAACCAAATTGAAAGCTCATTTACAAGTTTCTATCGATGAAAGATTACAAATTTTTAGTTATATCATTAGTATAGCACAGTAAAATTAATTTACTTTTTTCTTTAAAATACGTAAGAATAATGAAAAGGAAGAGTCACATTCAAATAATTCATATTAAATATTCCTATCCATAAATAACACCAAATCAGATTCAAGATTTAAAAGAATATACATACAACATGAAATGCCTTTAAGACGTCGAACCGTTGTCGATGATGTTACAGCGAACGGATAAAGGCAACTAGAAGCGAGGCTTATACGCGGTCGAACGATGAGATTCAATTGACTGGAGCCTCCTGGTACTAACAGCTGGCATTAATCACCGAGAGATCGCCGATATAACGCACGCGTGTTCGAGGATAACGTGCACGGCTGGGGTGGCTCGTACTTTCGGACACGCGAGGGGTTCCCCGTTCGTTATCGCGATACCAATATTCGCACTCTCTTCACGCGCGGCTCGTGTGTACACCGTGTATACCAATTGACGGCTGCTTCCCTTTTCACGTGGTCCGTGATCCCCTCGATCGCTCGTATACCAGTGATATCTGAAGTGGCGGCGTCGCGCACGCGAGCTTCATCGGCAGGGACGAGAGAGGAATTCCCGCGGTGATTCCCCACGATGTCCATCGACCGCACACCACGGCTCTCTCTACGGCTTTTATATTCCGTTTTTCCATCCCAACTGTCAATCGATTCCGTTCTTACCGTTCTTACCGTTTCTTGAAGAGCGAGGCGTGTTACAAGGCCGATCGATCCGTGTCCCAATACATTCATACGATCTCGATGTTTTGCATCATTCGAACGAAGGGGGATAATTGTCGACGAGGGCAACGTTTGCCACGAGAGATGCATGCGTATCTGGATGCACGTTGATATGGACAAGGGTCAAGCGAGGATAGGTATGAAAAGAGTCAGATGAAGGAAGGTGGAGGAGAGGAAGGAAGAGAGGGAGGAGTAGAAGGCGAAGAGGAGGAAGAGACACGGCCGGGAAGAGAAATTTGCGGGATCGTAGATGTAGAGACACGGCGGGGCGCGCTGTAAATTACAAGCGGAGCGCCAAACCGCTATGGTCTTCTCTCGGTGGCGCAGGGGTGTCTAGACGTATAGATAATACCGAGTTTGTGCGGGGCAGACGCAACCTAGACGGTCCCTGGTTCATCCAGCCACCCGAACCAGCCAGCCAACCAGCCAGCCAGCCAGCCAACCGGGCTAGGCTAGACACATCGACCATGCTCCGTTTCTCTCGTTGCCTCTCTTCTTTCCACGCGCGCCACCTGTCCTTGTTCTGCCCGCCACTATCGTCCCACCTATATGCTGTCACGGTCTCCGTCGCACCCGGCCACCCGCGAGAGCATACCTATACTAGCTCCCAACCGGATTTCCCATCGTTCTCTCGTCGCACCGGCTCACGAACGCTTCCTCCCCGCATTCGCCGCGGAAGGCGAGAGATGCAAATCCTCAATAGCGTCGTTGGATCCTAGATCCCATTGGCAGCGATCGTGACGTAGATGATGCACCCTAGTCTCTTCGCCCTGTCCTCCTTTCACTCCCAGTCTTCCTTGCACGGAGGTGTTATCTCGCGACTCGACCTCGGAATTGTTCCGTTTCGCGAGACGCCGATTCTCCCCTCCTCTCTCTCTTCCTCTCTCTCTTTTTCTCTCTCTCTCTTCTACAGTATCCGGTGAAAATTTACCTCGCTTTCGACCGACAGCCTCTTCCATTTGTCATTTGATGCGTCGCGAGAATTCTAATGGGACGATACGAAGGAATCGCGTTCGGAATCGTGGCGGAAGATTTAAGAGATTTCGAGGATTTTTATCCGCGAGAACGTTTCATCTGCGATTCTTGAGTCACGAGGATAAGTGAGATCGAAGATCTTTCTGGATTGGATTGGAAACTGGTTATCTTCATTCAACGTCATTTCGCGTAAAGATACTTTATTTTGCAATTTTCTTGCGATACGCTTGAACACGCTTTTCTTATTTGAAAAGTTGGGTGTAGGTAATAATAAGTATCGATTATTTGCGTGAAGATGTTCCATAATTTAATCGTACGTGTAAATGTTTCCAACGATAACGTTCTATCATCGGATATTGCAAAATCGATAAATTTTATAAATTGCAACATCAGATTGTGGAGTATAATTCTTCTCGATATTATCAAAAGAAAAATAAAGGGAATTCCAGATTTCTGTCCCAAAATACCACATTTTTTAATCTTTTTTTCTCCAAAATAAAACTTAACTTTCAGCCAGAAAAAACTATCCTTTTCCGATTGCACCGTGATTCGCATGCACTTATTCCATTGTTATATCGGCCATAGCAAGCAACCAGAGACCGATCAACTTGAGCTTTCACGAGAAATTAAGGATAGAGCTTCATCCTCCGCGGATGTACGCATCTTCCTATATCGTTCTGGCTAGGCCGCCCCTCGCCCCTGGGCCGGCCGCCGTTTTAATCGGCCCGACTGCAATGCATAAATCCCCGTTAAATAATACGGTAGTTAACAGTGCCATTAAGCCGTTCGAGATACCGCAAAACCGGTAGGGTGCTCCTCGCTGTACGCGCGAAGTCCGTATTTATCGGCAGCCGACGCGCCACCACCGAGAAATATTGTTCTGCGTTCGTTTCCACTGGCGTTCGGGGGCCGACAAATACGGACGAGGAGGGGGTGGAATAAAAGAACGGGGAAAAAAAAAAGAAAAAAGGAGAGAAGGTATAAAATCGAAGAGAGAGAGAGAGAGAGAAGGAAAAAGCGGAGGATGAGGCATGATATGGCAGCGCGAGGAAACGGGCAGACGTACAAATTTCCATTCTCTACCGTTCCTTTTGAGCCACCGTCGTAATTAATTGTTTCGAGTGTAATGAGCGGGATCGTTTTTACGCGGCGTGGATTCGCGTAATTAGCGGGTTCGCGTAAATATGAAATTTCATCGCGATTATTTAATGCCGAGACGACAGTCCCGCCATGAGCGTGTGTTCTCGCCATGGCGAGGCTCTGACACTTGGAGGGTCCGTTTTAATGATCTCGATCCGTTGATTCCGAATGGACCAGTTTCCTTGGACTCTCTAACGACTGGGCGAGGTGAACGGAGCGATAATGTTTTTGCTTTATTTTCGAGATCGGCGGGGGAACGGAGGGGAATTTTCTGGGGTAAATTGAACCCGCTTAAACTGAAGTTGAAGAAGAATTCGAACGCGGGATCATTAAGGTAAATAGATACGGATGATAGCCTAATGGATCGAGGTTTAATGTGTACTTTTTATAACGATAATTTTATAATTTTATCGTTAAAAGTTTTATCGAAAAAGAAAAACGAAGAAATAAAAAATATTAATGTTCAAGTTTAATTGTTCGAGCGAGTGAAAGGATGAAGTGCACAATATAATTTTTCTTATACGAATATTCAAATTTTTCTCTTCGAGTAAGAAACACAGAAATATCGATTTAAAAATGTGTTAATCTCAATCTAATTTTATTACATTATATATTTGTATATAATACAATAATCGTAATAATTAGAACAATAATCATGAAAAAGAAACATCGAGAAATGAAACTAATGACAAATTCATCGATCCATCTTGAACTCGCAATATTTCATGAGAACGAAATTGCGGTGACCTCGTTATTTGACAAACGATCGTTTCCATTCCGTCGAACAATGCCGTGTATCGGAGAAGAAACGGTAACGAGCAATAGATTTCGATATAACAAGCGACATTCGTCATAGTTTACGTAGAATCGTAACGTGGATCGTGGTCTGTTATTTTTCTACCGGTATCACGACTCGTTCGATGATCGGATTCGAATATTTTTCCGAAGGGAAAACGACAATGAGAAGGACTGAAATTACTTGTAAGAGGGATGACTGATGTCGCGATCTTTATCCACAGCGGAAATTCCGAAGAAAGACACGCAACGGAAGTATTGTCGATGTCCATTTCGATCCACATCGATACGAGCAAGTATGACAAATGGCTGCGATATATTATTATTTAACTTATTTTTTATTTATTTTATTTATTCTTTAATTATTTTTTAATTATTTATTCTTTAATTTTTAACAGGAATCGATGATCATCTTCCTTAATCAAATTATTCATATATTCATAAGTTCATACTTGATATAAAGTATATCATAAATTTATTAAATTTATTTGTTTCTTGTTAAAATCAGAGCATAAAAAGTTATAAAAAAATGAGTTTTTGCAATTATTAAACTTATACAAATATCTTTCACGAAACGTAACGTTAACGTTTTAATGTTATTAATTTTTCTACCACTGGATATATGATTTATAGAGAAACTATAAAATAAATATTTTCAATAAAAATAAAAATCGCACATGATAAAAGATAAGATACATAATTCATTATATTATATCGATCGCACAAGAAACACGCAAAGATTCGCTAAAATTGAATTTTCTTTGATACTAGGATTATATAGGCTTGTAAGCAATCCTGAAGAATAACGTGTTATAACTCGGGTGAAGAACTCGACCGTGAAAATTGCGAGACGTAACAGAAAATTTGATCGTCCGTCTGCTCGATTTTCTTGCGTAAAGGGGACGAATTAACTTTGAGGCACCCCTATCGCGAACTCAGCCGTCCCTATCGTCGACCCTTTGATTTTAAGCAATCTCCAAGGGTGACTCGCCACATTCCGATTACAATTTTATTTCCTCCCCGCTTCTTCGTTCGATCACTAGGGGTTAACTCGTTTTATAGGATGATTCTTTTTTTTTTTTTCTTTTAGTCCATCAGACCAATTGCAGACTTCATTTAATTTTCTAAATCACTATTTTCCAATTTCTTTTAAATTGCAATTCTCTTTCGTAATATTCAAATAACGTACCATGCTCTTCTCTCATATGTGGTAAAAATTGAAAAGTTAACGCGATTTTTCGCTGCTATTAAGATAATTAATAAGAGGATCATTCTGATCTCCTTAACTCACTAATCTAAATTTTACTTCAATTGTAACGATATTATCTACGTGTTTCTTATTTCACGATTCGATATATATAATTAAATAGAACTATTTGTTGGGTTTAGATAAAAATCTATGCACTTTTTTTTTTAAATAAATAATATGAACATTCAACACCAACCATTTTTATCAAAGCATCTGTAACAAGAGGGAAGAGAAAGAACATGAAAAAGTCCACGTAAATTACAAGCGCATCTCATCTCTCCTATCGGCAGATTTATATCCCCGAGTGGCTGTCAAACAAATACGCTGGACTAACGGCTGGTAAAAAGCTCGGTGCGCGCACGGATGTATGTGCGTCCCCTCGGCATGGAATAATAAAAAAAATCAAGATTTCTCACTGTGCGCATACACGAAAATATCGTTGAATTGCTTTGTTCTTCTTCGAAATCAAGATTTATATCTGACTGACTCATAAATAGTTGAAATCAAACTACATATTAAGCAACAAATAAGCATAATTACAAGATCAAATTTTACAAGATCAAGTGTCGAATGCTGCAATTATCCGATAAAATTCGAGATAAATTTATCTTTCTTGTCAAATATATCATATTTTTCTACCACGAAGAAAGAAAAACAAAACTTTCTTGATTAACTAATAGTAAATTAGAACGAGTGTGCCCATCATATTTCGCCCAATGAAAATCGCGGGTTAACGCAGAAGAAAAGCCGGAACGCGTTGCACAGTCGCTAAATCGATCGGAAACAAAATTTCTACCATATCCGGTCCCCGCATCGCGACGTCGCCTATCCCCGCCGCGTTTCTCGCGCGCTTCGAGATCCGTCCCGTAACAAGATCACCGTTACGAAATAATTGCATCCTGCGCGCCAGTCGCGACGAAGCCGCGGCAACCCCTTTTTCCGCGGCTCTGCCGCCTCGCCCCCTCCTTTTTATTCGCTTGCGCGGCCTTTTATTCGCGTGAGCTGTCCGAAAAAAGAGGGCGAGAGCAGGGTGATTCCGGGAAGCAAGGGCAACAAGAGTGGCTGACGAGTGCGCTGCAAAGTCGTAACGCCGCCGTGCCCCAACCCCCGATCTCGATCATCTGCCTCCACCGCCGTCTGTGTGACGCAGCATCCCTGCGGTTTCGAGTTACCCACCAAACCGTCTAGCACACCGTCTGATGATGCTCTACCTTCCACCGACAGTTTTTGTTTTGTCTGGCGGACTGGAATGTTTGATGCAACGTCTCCGACCAATTATATCATTATACGCGCGCCGGGGTATACACGGGGTATGCGGTTTCACCGTGAATCGCGCACGACGAAATATTCGACGGCCTTGTCGCCGGTTAATTGGGATCGTTTCGTTTATTGGCGATACCAATATCGGACTGGGATAGATGATTTGTGTCCCTGGGAGAGCAAAATTTGAAACGAACAGTCTTAATTTTTACACGCGTTAGACTGCGGTCGAATGAGCGATGAAATGGAGAGAATTTGAAATAAACGATGATATTGGAAAAATTATAAAAATGTTAAATTGTTAAAAATTATATCAAGGATATTGTTTTCTTTTTTTTTATTGCTTATGAAATATTAGAAAAAGATAATAACGCTTTAAAACTCTTCGCAAGAAAAATTTCATTTACTTATTTTTTAGTCTGATCTGGTAATAAATTATCCAAAACTTTACATTCGAATTCAAACCAATACACTTTCTCCCATACCAGTCAAGTTCCATGCTCATTCCCAGAAGCCAGACATCCGGACAATCTCAAATACTCTTCCCATCCCTTCCATCGCTTTTCGAAGCTCTCCAGATTCGCACCTGTGACGATCACAAGTTTCGCTCAGTCACGCTACTTACTAATCAATCTTGCCACTTTATTTCAGTGGCTGATCGTGCCACGGATCTTGATTACCGCAAGGAGATCTGGACACATTCGACCGCATCTGTCCCGCGCTCGTTCATACGTTAAGTCCCATTAAAAAGCGTGGCGAGGCTCCGTTTCATCCCAATGAAAGACCATTAGTGTCGACGACACGAGGTTTACGTCAACTTGGACACTTCGAAAGATAACTGCGCACTCCCAAATAGTAGAAGAGCTAACAAAACTAATTTGTTACATTATTGTTCCAGAATCGAAAGATCCAAGTCTCGTATATTTCTTAACACTTTCTATATATGATCGAATTCCTTTGTTGTCCGCGATCGTTCGACCGTGAAACTTTTGGACGCCTGTCTTGGCGCGTGCAGGTGCGTGCACATGCAGATGACGGCGTCCACCGTGGCCACGAGCGTTAATTGAAACAACAGTTAGAGCCGGTGAATCATTTAATTAAGCGGATTCCGAACGAGTCGCGCGACGCCGCGTCGTCTGGCGTCATTTCGATCTAATTACCACGCCGGGACTAAGTGGCTCCGCTGGATTCGCTGAATGCCTCGCGACGAGCGTCTTTTTAAGTGCCGACGGTTACAAGTGCTATGTCTGCCTCCGCGTTATCCCTTTCTCCCTCCTTTTCCTGTAGAAAAGCGGCAAGACGGGATACGTGGGTTAGTATATGAACATGTAATTATTGGTTTTACCTGTTTAGCCTGATCCGTTCTTTTGTCTGGCTTTATTTAGGATTGTGTAGTTAACGCGGTGTGAAAATTGGTTGAGTAAATGGGAATGGTGAGTGATTGAATTATGCGAAATAGTTTGGTAAATTTTTGCGAGAGGCGATAGATAGTAATTAGATAATAAATATGTAAATATAAGATCGTTCGTAGGAAACACGAATTATTAATTTCTACAAAATATTTTATTTTATTTTATTTGTTGTAGTTTGAAGTTGAAAATAAAAATTTACACATTCGTATCTCTGCTATAATATAGTATAATGATAGTAGTAAATTTAAATTTAAATCAATGGATATTTCATCGATCTGTCGAGGGAAAGCAATTTTTCTATTTTTCGATTTCGTTTTTCAATTGTATGATTCTTGCGAATACAGGAGCATTAATCTCATAGGGTTCTTAACAAGTTTATATAAAACTCGATAGCGTTCGTGCTTCCTGTTTCATCGGAGAAGGGCTTGTTTCCTGTAGTTTGATCGCTCCCTTCGTGGCCTCTTCCAACCCCATTTAGAATCGTTGTCTGAAACGAACCCTCTGCCACGATAATTTGATTGCTACGCCATCCAGGCCAGACCCTAGCCAAAATTCGTAATCGCAGCTGTGCAACCGTTCAATTCTATTACATATATCTATCTGTTGTGAAAAAAACCTTTGGTCAAAATATTGAATTTGTCACGATTGTGATACAACCTCGACGATTAATCGAGGAATAGCAGTTAAAATCAGCAATCACAAATCGATAATAACAACAAAATTATCTATCGAGAAAATGTAATATTAAATTGAAAAACAATAAGCCATTCTCTACAACTGTAGAATTTTATTTTTTTAAATTTAAACAAGAAATGTTGCGTTCAATTACCAATTATCACAATACAGCAAGAAAAGTGATATGATCTGCTATTCGAACAAGATCGTTCGAATCATTGGCACAAAAAGCTCTTAATATTCGTAGAGGCGACTAAACGTCATAAAGCCTGGTACGCGCTAATCATCATAATTTGCAAGGACGTCTAGCCGGTCCGTCGTTGAGGCGACGCCTCTCGTAATTCGAGTGACAACTGACGGCCGTCTACGCGTTAAACGCTCATCCCGGTGCCACGATCCAATCTCATCCGAGGAGGAACTTTTTTACGAGAACGAGAGAGGTCACGAGACGGCGGCAGCACGTCTCTCTCTCTCTCTCGTACACTTTTTCTCCGTTCTTTTCGCTCGTTTTCCCTCCTTTGTCGCACCTCACCCTTTCTCACTCTCCGCAAATTACGTAGAAACGGTGGCTTTCTTCCAGACATTTTTCTCGCTGCCCCGACAGTACAAAATGAATCACCTTTCCCGCTCATGGAACAGGAATTTATACATCGCGCCTCATTTCTCTTATTTACAGATGCATTTGCGTAAATTTCCAACCCTTTCTCCTTTTCCCTGCCCCCTCGACAGTCTCTCGACGGTTTATTCGCGATCTGTTGGCTCCCCGGTAATTCTAGGGGAATCCCTCATCTTGTCGCCGTAAGGTATTCGCCGGTGAAAACGTCGACAACGCCGCGGAGAATCGTAAAAATGACGGAAAACGAAGCCGCCATTGTTTTTAACCGTCTCGCGTTTAGATCGTCGCCGATGGTGGTGGACGTTCCTCCCGGTGAAACGACTCGTCAATGAGATCGAGATCTATCGTTTGTACACGCTCGTTTTCCTCTTCCTTTTCCTTTCTCGCGACTATGATTAAAAAAAAAGAAAGAAAGAAAAAACAGAAATGTTTTCAAAGAGAGAGAAACATCATTCGTTTAAAGCATCATTTTTCAAATTCGTTAAGTTCGATGTGATATTACACGATTAACTCGATTGCGCCATCTATCGAGGACTGGAATTTTTGCAATGGCGGGATAATCTTAACTATCGCTCGACACGCGAATAGGAACGAGAAAACTCATGTCGACGCGATGTCTGCGATGAAAAAGATGAAAGAATGCACCGTGGCGGAGGAAAGGCTGGCAAAAGGGGGATCCGGAGCAAAAGACGCAACTGTCATGAATGAAATGCTGCTTACCACCTATTAATATCCATCACCTCCTACAACGGGTGTCGCCAGCCTCATAACGCCACTCGACGCTCAGCAGGAACATCTTCACGCGAGATTACTCGTCGTTGCTGTGTCGTCGTTTCTTCCAGCGGCGTAGTTTTACGCAACCGCGAGGAACAATCACGCCTACGTTACCTTTCTCTCCTTCTTCTCCTCTCCTCTCCTCTCCTCTCCTTTTCTTTCTTCCCTCTTCCTTTCCTTCACGTCGGTACCGTTCGCACACAACGACGAGACGAGAAAGAAGCGTGGTGTGCACGGGAACAAGGACGAAAGGCGGAGGCGATGTCACGGAGTGTTTTATTTACCGAGCGGGAAAGCCTAGACTTTGCACTACGCCACCGGTGCACGACACCCCCGCGTGTCTTCGAACGCTTGTGTACAAACACGGCGTCCACACACGAGGATCAACCAACCGTGTCCGTGTGTTTGCTACAAAGCTGTATGGCCGTCGTTGGATCGTCTAGGTATGTAATGGGAAAATACCGGGCGGTAGTGATCGTTGGGTAAACGCGACATCCAGGTCAGATCGTCTGAAGTGCATTGATATCAGTGGAATTATGTTTTATCCGTGATAATCGAAATTAGGTTTCTTACATGTAAGTTTGTCATTAAGGATTATTTTTTTTTTTTTAGACTATTAGATGCGAAGTTTTGTTTTTCATTTTAATTATTTTATTAGTAATTATTACTTTAGTAGCAGTGATTTGTTTATTTTAATCAATGAAAAGAAGTGAACGTTTTAAAACTGATTCTTTTTTTTTTGTTTCAGGAAATGGGATTATAATTATCTGGCTGCCGTTGTTACGATTAATGTCTGGTAACATGTCTGGTTTAATTTCTGGGAAATTATAATTTTTAATAAGCATTGAGCAAAATTAAAATTTTTAAAATAGTTTGTAAATTCACCGAGTATATGTAAGTATAATATGATGATATAATAAGAGATAGTTGTATATTTTTGTATCTGCGAAAAAAATTGTTTCTTTTCATATAAATATTAATATAGAGAAATGATTAAATTAATCATATTCATCTTTATCTAATATAAAAAAGGAATGAGAAGAAAGGTAAGATATGCATAAATTATTTTTAAAACTTTAAATTTCAAGCATTACAATTCTATCCATATAATAATAATTATTATAATAATTACGAAATAGGCAATAAATTAAATAGATTTAACAGATGAACAAGCTTAACAAGCTCTTGATCAACTTTCTTGACAAACTTTCAACAAAAAACGCATCTACTAATTGAAACGTATATTTATTTTAGAATTTTGACGATCGAAACAATTCACTGCGGCATAATTCGAAGTAATTATTGTAATGGCAATGGCCTGAAATATGGTGGAAAAATACAAGGTGTACCGAAGAAACAATTCTTCAGCTGGGAAGAGTCCAACGGGAGCCGTGAACATACACCTTAAAGCTTTCGGAATCTGAAAGCACCGGTTCGTTGGACTTTCTCGAGAATTTGCACGGCGGGATAAAAGAATCGTAAGGTGCAGCGCCGGAACGGTTGAAGCCGCATAAAACGCAAGCCAAACAGTTCTTGTTCCTGGGACGATAAAAACGTAACTCACACCGGGAAGGTAATAATTGTTCCCTGTATTTCTTCCGGTGGACCAGTCCCTTTGAAATTTTCATCGCGAAATACGAGACCGTGAAAGGTAGGGACTCGCTGTCATAATGTCGAAATTATTTTTGCCGCAGAACGACCGTTTACGACCAAGTTTTTTTTTCAAGATGTCGTATCTGCGAAACCAATCGCGCCATCTACGTCGCTCGCGGGAGTTCCCCCGGAATTGGCGGAGTACAGAATTAACGAGTAAGTTCGTTAAATGCAACGAACGGCAGGAGAATGATGACCTACTAAAAACTCTGTTTTCTTATATAGATTATAATCGCTATTGCTGTGAAGCACCTTTAAGTGGCCGAAATGACCACCCTTTAGCCCGATGTAAGACTCTTAATTGTTAATTTTTATGTCTGCTGATAATGTCTGCTCGTCTCTGGGAGAATGCTCGAGTATTTTAACGGTGTTTTGTGTTCGTTAAAACGGACGAGGAATTTTTAATTAACACGGTTTCTGTATAAAGCTAGCCTTTTCTGGTTTTATTTCTGACAATTAACGGGTGTAAATTAAAATGTAGGTACTTTTGGAAAAAAATTAATTCAACACTTTGCTAGCTAGATGGGGTAATATTCAAACTTATTGTACAGGTGTATTAACTATTTAAGATTTGAAAAGATCGATATACTCTTTAAGAATTTCTCAATTTTAAAAGTAAACATAGATGTTTAATTTTTCAAAAGTGTGTCTTTTAATTAAAAAAAACGCTACGAAGTAGCTGCAAGAGTTGTGCTAGGATTAATTCAAGAGTCTAATAACCAGTCTGGCCATTCTACATCGCACGAACTTTTCTCCAGCCAGCCAGTCATAGAACAAAGTTCTTTATCGTAACATGAACTCTAACTTATAATGAATCTATTATTTTCATATAAAAAAAAATTTACGATACTCTTTTTTAAATTTCAAATTAAAATCCAAATATACATACAAATTGACAATTGTTTCTCCAAAACTGAAAACATTCAAAGTTTCTACATTCTTAGGTCGTCACACAAGTAATACGACATCTTTCGATTCGATATGGAGTGGAATTTTTACCAATTGTTCGTTGCTGGAAACATCGATGCAAAATTACCGATCTGCATCAAAACGGAAATCAGCCAAGGACCAGGTTCATTCCATGGAGTCGGAATCGTCTCACAGCCATCTTTCGCCCGGCGAATCTATGCGCGACTCGTTTCCCTTGATTAAAGGAATAATCCCCGGAGGGTGGAAGGAGTACACCGCGATCGTGTCCTTTAACATGGTCGCTCGAGGCCTTGCGGAACGAAGAGGAAGAGAAAAGTTTTTCGCGGAAACGAAACTGGTCGAGGGGGGAGGGGGATCTAGGCAGAGACGAAAGAGAATCGGAGGAAAAAGAAAGGGAAGGAACAGATAGCGAGCAGACGGGCGCGGTCGTGCCGGACGGCATTTTAATAGGTTCGCGGGGTTCGAGCGAAAAAGTTGCAAAACAAAATAAATCGGCGTCGCGACAGGTCGGGCCGCGCTCTCCTCCGCTCTTTCCCTTTTTCTCCTATTTCCTCCTTCTTCCTCTCGGCTTTTTCCCTACCCTTCGCGCCTCCCTGCTCCCCCGCACGGGGCGCGGGTCATGCATATTCACGTGTGGCATTCGTACGCACGGAATTAAGCGGCCGGGGAATTAAAGCGCTTTTCGGCGAGAGCTAGTCCAGGAGCCTTCCACCCCATCCCACCCTCCCCTCCTCCACACCGTGCTCCAGGTGATTACGCGGGGATTTTTCGAGAGACGGCGTTTCTATGGCGGCGCGGTAAGTACAGCTGCGAGAGACCATGCCGCTCGCGCGTCGATTCGACTCGCATTATTCCCCGAGACAAATTGGACTCTCGCGTCCTGGACAACGCTTTTCCTTTTTCCTTTTTATCTATCTTTTTCCCCTCTTTACTACCTTTTATCGCACTGACGAGACTCTCTTTCAGGAAATATCGCGTTTCGTTGCAACGAGGGATGATGATTCTAATGGCAGTTCCTCGGCTCATGGTAAAGGATATCGTGACATTGAGACCCTGTGTCGGCCCTGTAGATACGTTTTCATACGACGTCGAGCAGATTGTGGGAGAAGATTGCAATCGGGATGTAGAACGAGGGAGCGATAATTGATCGAGTTCTGCGCGATGGGGCGCTCTTCGCGTTCTATTGGAAAATTGTCGATGATTATATGTAACAGTTAATGGCCCATTGTACTTCAATTCTGTTTATTAGATTCTATGATTTCGATACTTTTTTCTACATTTTATCCTTTTTCTTTTTTTTTTTTTTCAGAGAATTTAAAGGATGAATATTCGTTCTACGCGGATAAATATTAAGCTGTTTTCCGAGTTGGCTGAAAGAATTCCAGCATTCCTGCGCCACTTACACGGGCCCGGTAGTAGACAGCAGAGATCTGCATAATAAATATTCATACCGTTCCTAGTAAAGGTAACAACAAATGCTTTGTCGCGTGTAAAAACGACAGGGATGGAAAGGTCAGGCGTATTTCAGGCGTTCGTGAAGCGGGAGAAAAGAGGAAGAACT